TTACATTAGCTAGAGGTGTGATTTCTTGGAAGAGCAAGAAACAAACATGCATTACTCTTTCGATCATGGAATTAGATTTTGTGGCTCTTACTTCCATTGATCAAGAAGCAGAATGGTTGATAGACCTTTTGTTAGAAGTTTCATCGGCTAAATAAAATATTTCAAAAGTGTTGATACATTATGATAACCAAGTCACCCTAGAAAGATCATTCAGTGAAGTATACAATGGAAAGTCTAGGCACATATGTCTTAGACATACTTTCGTGAGAAAATTAATTAAGGATTAGATCATTTCACTGATGTATATACGAACAAGCTATAATTTAGCTGATATGTTTACTAAGTCACTTGCCACAGACTTAGTAAAGACTACCTCGAGAGGTATGAGATTAAAACTCCTTGATTAAGGGTTCTGACAACGGTAGCAACTCAATTTGTAGTTAATAAACCTTAACCTAAGATTCAATGGGTAACAACAAGTCGTTGATTTTGGATGTTTATGCAACATATTATGAAAATGTTGACTATTACATATTGAGGGTTGAGTTTTTCAAAATCTTAATGAAGTTCTATATCGAGGATATGTATCTTAAGAAATAGATACAAAATGAACTTCACCTGTATGAATTTCGAGATGGTGGCGCCTTAAAGTGAGAGTTGAAGTTTCTCTCATGAAAAATTCACGAAAACAGAAAAAGCATATGACTATAAATAGTGATATGTGAGAGATGTAGGCGAAGAACCATTAAAGAGTGGGTGTAAGATAACATCGGTATAATCACAAGAAATAACAGTTTAAAGCATTGCTAACTAACATTCTGATTAGACTTTGTGTTATTCTTACTAAGGTTAAATTCAAATCGAAAGATACTTAATTGTATTAACATTCATTGTTTCTCTTATCTAAAATTTGTCTTGTCATTATAAGAACAAGTGAAAGATTGTTGTAATTTATGAACAAGAAATGTCAATGGGTGTATTCCAAAATGATAAGAAAAGTGAAAGTGAGTATATGCCAACAAAGGCTTGGTAAATAGTCTCACATAGAAAGTTTCACTCACTTTAAAAGTCTTCATAAAGAGTTGTGAACATTAACTCAACAAAAGGATAAAAGAGGATAAAGTGTCGCATGGACAAGTGTGGTGGTCCCAAATATTATGTCATTTGTCTCCTCCATACACTCCCTCGCCGATATCGCCACCGGCGACACCGACTCCGGTTCCGGGACCAGATTGAGGGTGTGGGCGTAGAAGCGCTTGTGGAGACTTGTAGGTGGCACTATAGCACTTAGTCCTAACGCATCGGAGCAATCGGGATACCCGTGACGTTAAATTGAAGCGCATGTGACGCTCCGGCGGACGGTCTTCGGTCGACATATGGTAAATGATTGTTGCTCTTGTTTTTATCGTTGCTTGAGTTTGATTTTGAATTCAAAAATATGAAACACTTCGTGAAATGTTGTCGAATGGAAAATTGTAACTATTGAAAAATGTTGATATAGGCGAAACAATACAACTATTAGTAAAAGATATTGTTCGAGTTTTCATTTGTCTTGTACAAATTCGAGTATAGGCTGAATTATCCTGAGTATTTCTGAATAGAAACTTTAAGATATTCAAGAATACTTAAAATACTATAAAAAAAAAAAAGTGTTTCGTTTACGATTCTAATATAAATCCATTCAATTTAAAATTTTATCTAATAGTCTCTTGCTAATCCTACTATCATAAGCATGCCATACATCTATATATATTTTTTCACAAATACACATAATTTAAAAAAGAGGAGGGGATGTGAGTAGCAATAGTCGAACTCCAAAAACATTCTATTGTTTTTTGTGAAAATGTGATAGTTTGAAACTATATAAGAAAAGGATTTATGTATATTGGGTATTAGAAAGATAAAAAGTGGGAGTTATAAAAAAAAATCAGTAATCCACCACTGCATGGCATGCAAATAAATATTGCAGACATCGACATGATTGTGCAGTACAATATTTTCTCTCTAGGCTATATATGCAATGCAGCAACAAATTTTATTTTATCATATAGCTGATGAGAACAGAATACAACTGCGACAAACCCTAATATTATACTATATAATTATACAGTGAAGAAATCATCATGATTCATGATGATTCAAAAAATTCGAAATCTGTACGGATACTACATATTTTATATAGTTTGCAGCACTGTCATATCATTAGTAGTATATGTAAGCTAAGCTTTGGTTTTTAATGACCCATCCCTTTCTTCAGCTACATCATCTATTTTCACCTAATCCTTCTTACTCACACAACACATGTTTCCTTTTTTAAAAAGTGACCTAAAAAATAGGTCACCCTTTCAGTTTTGTTGAGTATACTACTAGACAAAAAATAATTTAAAATTTCAATTAGTTAAACATTACCCTTTGACCAATATTGGTATACTTTACGTGTGTAGAACTTATCTATATCTATGCTCTATATAGGAAATCATGAAGAAAAATAAAACTCTTACTACAATATTAGCAACCCTATTTTTGACCTAAACAACTTGTTCTCTGACGGTTTTGTGAAAGTAACACTTCTTTTAACAAACATAATTACTGGATCGTACTCTTGTATTACTGTTCTATTCTTAAAGAAACCAATTATATAGAAACCCTGGTATACAATCATGAATACGATTCTATCTTTTAAGTTTAAAAATATTTTAAGATTCTAGTTGAACACGTGATTTAGTTGAATTAGATTTGGCTGAATTCTTAATTGCTTAATAAAGAACTAGTAAAAAATCTGGGCTTTGCTTAATAAAGAATTAATAAAAAAACTTGTGCGTCTTCATGAGTTTTAGTTGACATGCACATTTGTCCATAGATATTAAAAATTGTTGTTTCATTAATATTGTATTAAAAAGTTATAAGAGAAATTAACATCTTTTGGGGTTAATGATAGATATTTTTTCTTTATATAAATATTATTTTTGTTTTAGTATTGTTTATAAAAATATTTGAATTAATAATAAATATTTTTTATTAAAATATTTAAATTAACAATACATTTTTAACCTATACAAAAATTATTTTTGTTTTGATACTGTTTATAAAAAAATTCAAATCGTCAATAAACTTTTTTTACTATATAAAAATATTTAGATCAGCAATAAATTTTATTTTCTTATAAAATTGATTTAATAAATTATTTGTGATAACATATAGATAATTTTATAAATTTTTTAAAAAATTTACGTTCTCATATTCAACATTTTAACTCTATTATTCTAGTTTAGTTTTATTGAAAATTTATGATTTTTTTAAAACTATTTATTATTGTTTTAAAAAAAGTATTGCATCTTAATTTAAAAACATCTTAAAATTAATTATTTTTTTGGAAATAAATATAACTTTATTAAAACCACTGGCAAAAAAGCAAGACAAGGTGGCTCAAGACACACCCACCCACCTAACAACCAAAAAAGACTAGACTACCCTATCAGAAGTGTAGCTATATTTTTTCTCATTCTAATATTGATCCAATTTCTATTAGCAAGAGTTGATATCACTAAATCCCTAATCTCTATAGTATTTACATTATCTCCAAAAACTTTATTGTTTCTATAATTCCATATTTCGTAAGCTGTCTCCGCCAAGGCACTGCGGATGAGGAAATTCCTCCAACCTTTGCCTTTACTTGTTGTAGTTAGCCATCTAAGCTCCTTTTGCCAACCACAAAGGGTATGGTGAATACCAAGCCACAAAAGGATATCCTGCCAACATTTCTTGAAAGGAGGGCAATTGGACAAAAGATGATCAATCGATTTCGCTTTGTTACAGAAATTGCAGTCTTCATTTGCAATGAGGCCAAACTTCTTTAACCGGTCTTTTGTCGCAAGCCTACAGTGGCAGGCCATCCAAAGGGTGAACAATGCCCTCGGCCTAACAATGGTGTTGTAAAACAAGTGCTTTCAACCAACTTCAGTTTCGCCCTGCTTGAGGTAGCCATACACTTTACAAATAGAGTATTTCACATTCATATTGTTCCAACCTGCCATACCATTTATGATGTCCCTATGACTAAGAATAACTTTAAGAATCCAAGACATGCCTTGTTTTTCCTGAACTTGCTGAATATCTGTAATTTTGAAGTAGAATGAAAGAATTCATTTAACCCACATAGAGTCCTTCTTATTATAGAGGTTCCAGAGCAACTTTGTAATGCTGGCAGTGTTCCACTCATATAAAGACAAGATACTCAGACCACCATTGCGCCTAGGATTACACACCTTCTTCCAAGCAATGGGGGATTTGCTTGATTTCAGCTCACTACCAGTCCACAAAAATGTCCTGCAAACAGTATCAATAGCCTTTATCACTTTTTTATGGAAAGAAAGTCACTTCATCTAGTAGGCTGACATAGCAGTAAAGGTGTTATTAATCAACTAAAGTCTACCAGCAAAACTAAGCAATTTAGAGCTCCAGTGGCGAATACGACTCATAATTCTATTCACCAAACTCATATAATGATGAGTAGATAATCTTTTGCTAGTGATAGGAATTCCCAAGTATCTAAAAGGTAACTCCCCATCCATAAAGGAGGTATTAGCCAAGATGTCGATTTTAACCTCATTGCCAACTCCTCCAAAGTACACCTTACACTTTAAAGGATTGACCACTAACCCTGTGGACCTAGAGAACATCTGAACCTGATCCATAAGTAATTTCACATATTGACCACCACCACAAGTAAATAGCAGAACATCATCAGCAAAGCTTATGTTAATGATTTGATGTTTTTCACACTTAGCATGAGAATTGAAATTAGGAATCTTATTAAGCTGATGCACCAGTCTGTGGAAATAATCCATGACCAAGACAAAAAGAAGAGGGGAGATAGGGTCACCTTGTCTAAGTCCCCTCTTAGTCCTCGTGCTTCTAGTAACTCTGCCACCAACATTAAATATTTTATAGGACGTAATTGACACAACCAGCATAATCCACTTGGTGAATTTATGAGGGAATCAAAAATCCTTGAGAATACACTCTAGAGCATACAAGTCAAGAGTATAATAGGTCTTTTGGATGTCTAGTTGCAAAATACATTTAGGTGTTCCACCATTTCTGATGTATCCATGGGTCAATTCATATGCTAGTAAAATATGGTCATGGATATTCTGGCCAGGGATGAAAGCAGTCTGGCTTGGATTAACAATACTAGTGAGGACCAAGCTCAATCTGCTAGTCAAAATTTTAGATATGATTTTATACAAGGTAGTGCAGCAAGAAATTGGTCTAAAGTCCTTCACACAGTTTCCACCATTACCTTTAGGGACCAAAGACACAAGAGTGCAATTCACAGCAGGATACATTTTAAAGTTGTTGAAGAAATCCATAACAGCAACAATGGTATCCTTTTTTATGATAGTTTAGGATGCCTTGAAAAATTTGGCCCCAAAACCATCCACACTAGGGGATTTTAGGTCACCAATATCTTTTAGGGCATTGTTAATTCCAGTTTCAGTGATAGGTCTCTCCAGCATGTTCCTAAGCTCAGCAGATAGTTGAGGACCATCTCTCATGGCAACAATGTTTATGCCCTCTAGCTCACTATTAGAACTCCCCATAAGACTACCATAGAAAAGTAAAACCTCATTCTCAATTTCATCAGGCTTGCTAAGCAGAGTGCCATCAGTATTACACAAGGCTGAGACATCACTAAGGTTTTGCCTAATTTTCAATTGAGCATGGAAATACCTATTGTTGCCATCACTCAATCTAAGCCAACTGATTTTAGATCTTTGCCTCGGCACTTGTTCCTCAAGCTCACTCCACTTGACCACCTTATTTAATATAGCCTTGATTAAATTGATCACCTCAGAATTATCCAGATTAACCTTAAGGTGCATTTGGACATCTAGCAAGTTCTGTCTAGCAATTTTAAGGGCGTGAGTGGCACCAACCAGAGGCTTGCTGAGCTTTTTCACAACACCTTGGAGTCTAAGTTTTCTTCACATCACAAACATAGAGCTACCCCTCATAGGGGCATTCCAACTACTAGCAATTTGATCATGAAATCCCTCTACATCAGTGTCACTGTTAATAAAATTAATTTTATTTGTTAAAAAAATTCAACTAATGGTACATATATACACTATATTTAATTTTTAAAAAATAAAAATTATTTTGAATGCTATTTAACAATCATTTATGGTGATCATAGTAAAATTTAACTTTTTTATTTATTAAAATTAAAGTTTTATAATGATAATAAATTTATTTAGTTATTTAAAAAAATCTAAATTGATTTAAATTACTATAATAAAATTTAAAAAAAATGTTACTATAAATATTTTTAATTGTATAAGTTTTATTATTTTAATTGTCTACATTTTATTTAATGACAAATATTTTTATGGTATTTGAAACAGGGTTATACTTTTCTATTATTTACCTCAATAACACGCACTTATTCAATCATTATTTTAATTGTATAAAATTTAATAAATAATCAATATTTTTCTCGTATATGAATGAAGAATATTTTTTTCTCGGATTGACATCAATGACACACAATTTATATTTCAAAGCCATTAAATTTATTATATATATATATATATATATATATATATATATATATATATATATATATATATATATATATATATATATATATATATATATATATGACATATTTTAGTTTACCCATTTAGTTTACTCCCACTAAAGATGTTCTTAGAAAAAATGAAAAAAAAAAAAAAAACAAAAAAAAAAAAGTAACTGTATGAGCAATGACAAATTTGACCCGTTTAAAAATTTTAATAAGTTTACTTAACACCTATGACAAATATTTGCCTCATATTTAGACCAATGACATGTTTTTTCTTAAACTAACTTATTTATAACTTATAAAGAAAATTCGAGTTTTGTTATAAAATATTATTAAAATATAAATTAAACTATTTTTGTATGATCTAAGTTAAACATTTGTTAACAATATAAATTAAATGATTGAAATTTTAATTTTATTTATCAATATTAATGGTTTATCCGTTTTTTTTTATAAAAAAATATATAATTTATGACGTGTGATTCATTAACACGATGTTAAAGACCATCAACAACAAATATTTGTTTAGTCATTAACATGGATCTTTCACATTCAAAATAATTTTAAAAAGATAAGTTGAAGATATATATGTTTCATTTATTCTTTTTCTTTTAAAATATGGAGAGTTTGTATCGTCATGATTTTTTAATGGTAGAAAAGCAGTAAATTTTTTATCTTTTTCATTTTTTTATTGTAGATTAGGTTGGTTTTATTTGGTTCTAAATAAAAAAAATTAAGAAAAAAGATAAATTAAAATATTTTTTTTATGTTAATAATGTATGTCATAATTTAAAAGAAAGAGCTTTTTTCTACGGTAACAATTAATCAATTTATCTTTTGGCTAAATAAAAATTAAAAATAAAGATATGTTTATTTTTCTCCTTTCATTTAGCAATTTATTTATATCTAATTTTTATTTTTATTTTTATTTTTATTTTTAAATATGATCTAATTTTCTTTGATCTCATTTTCATTTTTAGATATTTAAATTTTATTTTCTAGAATTAATTTTATATTTTTCATATTATTCTTTGGTTATAATTTTAATAAAATAATTTCTTTTGATATAAAAAGTGAACAATTAACTCAGATTATTTTTCTAATTTTTATTATTTCAGCATTTGCAAATTCTATTTTAAATTTTTTTTAAAAATGTGCATCTCCTCAAGTGAGTTTGGTGTCATTTTATTTTTTCATAAAAAAATATTGTTCATTCTTTTTTTTCTTTCTATACCACATAGTTTTGAAAAAGATATATACAATTCCGTTATGGACTAAAAAAAAAATTTATGATTTCACAAAAGATACATTATTTATTAAAATAAAGATTTAGAAGAAGAAATTAAGAATGTTTAGTCTACCTTATAGACTTTGTCATGAACCTGTGATAGAAAAAACATAATGTTGTAAATATATTAACTAAATATTCAGCTGTGAATAAATAAAATATAGATTTACTTATTCTTATTAAATAGAAATGAATAACACATTTGAAGAATGAGAAAATGTAAAAATTAAATACTCTTTTAAATATATGAAGTATGAATAAACCAGAAAAGAAATTAGAAATAACCTTTTTGTTATTATGTGTTCTTCATAAGAAGTTCTTCAAAGAAAAAGTGAAGAGAAAGGATATACATTGATATACTTTTATAGCAAGTGATGAGAAAAAACTTGTATTACCCTAAAAGCAGTGTTTCTCTTTTACTATCATTTTAATACAAACACAAAATTTACTATATAGAAATGATTTGATAGATAGTTGATTTAGAAGTTTAAAGTTATAGTTTAATTGAAAATTAGTTATGGAAGAATTGTTCCAAGTGAAAACACGTGGAATTTATTAATTTGGTATTTTCGATTGTGTTCCATATTTGTGTTGCTGTTAACTAGAATAGTTATTTTTATGGAGGCACAATCTAACGTTGTAATACATTCATGTATAATGTGTTGGTGCAAAGGTAGAATAAATGATGAAAAAGAAGAAATATTCTATTAAGAATGACGGTTACACAACTACTGAAAATAACAATGATTGCAACCCTATTTATAAACTAAAATTAGGGTTACTAGAATAAGATAAAATACTAAAATACCCTCTAACAAACTTAGGGGTTAAGAAAATAGTACTAATAATATGAATTACTTCTAATACCATCCCTTAATTCATATTCCATCAAAACTTGTAACACCAATTTCATCCCTTAGTCTGAGAAATTGATCAGTCTTGATAGCTTTCGTCAGAGCATCTGCCAACTGTTTCTGAGTGTTGCAGTGTACAACTTCTAACACTTCACTCTGAACTTGATGTCTCAGAAAATGATACTTGGTCTCAATATGCTTGCTTCTCCCATGCAGCACTGGGTTTCTGGCAAGATTGATTGCAGACTTGTTGTCAATCATCAGCTTCAGAGGTTTGTTTATTTTAATCTTCAGATCCTGCAACAGATTCAGAATCCACACAGCTTGGCATGCAGTAACAGCACCTGCAATGTATTCAGCTTCACATGTTGATAACGCCACAACAGGTTGCTTCTTGGAACACCAAGAAATGGGACCTCCCAGAAATTTGAACAAGGTACCCAGATGTACTTCTTCTGTCAACTCTGTCTCCACACCAATCAGAATCTGAATAACTCAGAAGTTCTGACTCATCCTTTCTTCCAGAAGGAAACAACACTCCATACTTCAGAGTTCCCTAGATATACCTCAGAATCCTGACAGCAGCTTGGTAATGGGACCACTTAGGTTTACTCATGAACCTACTAACCATCCCAACAGAGTAGCAAATATCAGGTCTGGTATTGCACAGATACCTCAGAGAACCAACCAACTGTTTGAAGGTTGTAGCGTCCACATCCTTTCCATCAGAGTCAGAATCCAGTTTCTGATTTGTATCTGAAGGTGTGACAGCAATCTTACAATTCTTCAGTTCAAATCTCTTCAGAAGTTCTAATTCATACTTGAGCTGATGCAAAATGATACCTTTCTCAGAATATATGAACTCCATCCCTAGAAAGTATGTCATTTTGCCTAGATCAATCATTTCAAATTCATTCATCAGAACTTTCTTGAACTTGGCTATCTCCTGTTTAGAACTTCCAGTCAATAGTATATCATCAACATATAAACATACCAGAGTCATATTGCCTTCAGAAGTATGTTGAACATAGACACCGTACTCCATCTCACATTTCTGAAAGCCTTGCTTCTTGAAAAATGAATCAATCTTCTGATTCCAAGCTCTGGGCGATTGTTTCAATCCATATAGAGCTTTGTATAATCTGTACACCATCCCTTCCTGATTTTTTTTCACAAATCCAGGAGGTTGTGACACGTAAACTTCTTCTTCTAATGGACCATTCAGAAATGCAGATTTTACATCTAAATGCATCAGAGGCTAATTCCTGTTAGCAGCTATTGCAATCACCATTCTGATTGTTTCATGTCTTGCTACAGGTGCAAACACTTCAGAATAATCTAGCCCAGGTTTCTGTAGAAATCCTCTGGCTACCAACCTTGCTTTATGTTTGCCAATTGAACCATCTGGCTTTAACTTCTGCTTGAAAACCCATCTAACGCCGATGGCTTTCTTGTCTTTTGGAAGTTCTGTCAGCTTCCAAGTCTTGTTTCTCTCTATAGCATCAAGTTCTTCTTTCATGGCCTTCAGCCAGAGCTTCTGCTTAAGAGCCTCTTCTGTACTTATGGGTTCAGAGTCTACCATCATGGCACACTGAATAACTTCTCCTTCAGAGTCTACTT